GTTGCCTGTGTATTAACTTGTAGCTTCCCGAGACTTGACTTATTTATTAGGGTTATTTGGCTAGTTATGCTCGTGTGTGTGTGTGTGTGTGTGCGTGTGTGTGTCCTTTAACACGCATACGTTCAACTACCTGCTCATTTTCACCTGAGTACGTGTTAATTTCGTCTATTTATCTTTCTTTCGGTTTCGGTTTCTTTTCTTTTTGATTTCTGTTGCTGTTGCTGCAGTTAAATAGAAAAACTTATATAAATAAAGCTGATATGGGGGTCAGTTGGAATCGAAATTCCAATTAACAGTTGTCAGCCGTGTCAGACAGTCAAATGTATCTGTAGCTGCGGCTGCATCTGTAGCTACACGTTTAACTTTGACGTTGACTTTTTTCGTTGGTTCGACTCGGAAGTTTGGCCATATTTTGGGCCAACGTGGGAAATGCAAATGCCTAGTCAAGTTTCAGCTTGAACCCAAGAGAGAGAAAGAGAGAGAGAGAGAGAGAGAGAGAGAGAGAGCGAGAGGGAGAGACTGTGTAAGACGGGAACAAACAAAGGCGTCGATTTGTATCTCAAGTGTACACAAATTCAACTTGCAGTCGAGGCCTTTGTTTAGACAATTCCCTTTCCATTTCAGCATTGTTGTAGTTATTATTTCTGGTCTTCCTTCAGTTTTAAGTTTTTTGTTTTTGTTTTGCTTTGTTTTGTTTTTACTCCTAAGCATTTGAGCTGCTGTCGGTTTTTGTTTTGTCTTCGACATTTGATACGATTTTGCTGCCAGTTGCTAAAATTACGCGCGCTGTTTTCATTGAGAGGCGTCGAAATGTGCCACGCCCCATTGTCTCGCCTCTCAAGTGGCCGCTGGCATATGCAAAGCATGTGTAACTACCAGTTACCAGTTGGCAGTTGGCAAATGCCTGGCCGGAAGTGTGTGGCATCTCTTTGCGCCGCATCAGTTGCAAGCGCACGTAGCTTGCCTCATGTGGCGGCGAGCCGCCGCAGCATGCCCGAAAGGTCTTGAGTTACTGGCTTGCAGTAATTTTATAAATAATCTCTGCCTCTGCCGCACAATGAGTGAGAAATATGCAGTGGGAGCATATGCAACATCGTGTTGCACGCTGCAGTTAATTCAGCGGCACATGCAAATTGGCCACAGCATTTGAGATTTTTAAATTTTTGCCAGGTCATGTATCTGCCAGCCTGCCTGCCTGTGTGTGTGAAATGCGACACATACGTGCAGCAGATGCTGGAAGAAGCGCTGGCTGCTTGTTTAAGTGCAACTTCCAGTGCCATCCAAACTGGTTTAAGCCTCTTCAAACAGCTGAAAACTTTACTCGCCGAAGTTTCCAAGAATTTTCAGCTTTCCATTTCTTAGCATTCGTTTGGCAAAGCTGGCCAGAGATTGAAAGTCAAATTTAATTAATAATATTTTTTTTTATATTTATTTGGTGAGAAATGTATTTTTAGGCAGTCTGGTAACGCTGGAATTTGAACTGCTTGTCAAATAAATACAGTTGACATTAACTTCGTGTCAAATTCCTACAACTAGGTTAAACGAAATAAGCATAGGAAAATGATATACGCTTTGACACCTAGTTTAATTAGCTGTTAAATTTGATATTAACTTTTAGCTGTGACATGTTGCAGTAAAATAATTTAAGTTCCTTGTAGGCATTTTAGTTTTGCAGATATGTACGAAAAGTGAAGATCATAAATTCTGCGTTTGATCTAAATATCTTGGTAATAGAATATTTTGGGCCTACCAGAACTTACTTTGTGACCGATCGTACCTATGGCAGCTATATGATATGGCGGTCCAAGGTTAATAGGTTTCATACTAGAACCTACTCGACAAATCGTTCCTGTGGCAGCTATATGATATATTGGCACGATTCGCCCGGTTTCCACTAATGCACTGCCTGCGACAGCTTAAGACTGAGGGACTGAATAGAAACAGACAAACGGCTAGACAAACAGCTGGACGGAAGGACCGACAGACCATGTCAAGTCGGCTTTTGATGGTGATACTTTATGGGGTTAGGGACATGACAAAATTATATTACCTACTCTAAGCTATAATACTCTATACAAATGAAGGGTGGTTCGATTTATTTTCTTAACAAAATTATGATTCATTTTGTATTGCGTTCCGTTTATCTTTTAGGAAAACTAGCTAAGTTGAAGCTTCGGTTTTCAGACAAGAAACTGTTTATTTCTGGCTTAAGTACGATTTTCAGACTTGAGATTAGCAAAATGCAAGCCACAGACTGACCCAACTACTGAGTTTAAGCACATAAATCGTAGGAGCATGTATTTAGATATAAATTCAAGCGATTTGCGAACTGTGAAATAATTATTCCAAATGCATTTCTGAGCTGCATCCGAATTGTAAATCAAAATAAATTAGTTGCCGAGCATGATTAAAACAATTAGTAAAACCTAAAATATAATTAAGGAATTGTTTTATTATTATGCGTATTAAGCGTACAAATGTCGAGCACAATCCAATTTTAGTCTCACTTTAGCTGCATTTAGTAGCACAATTTGAATGCGAGTCATAAACATCCTGTCGCGTGGCAGACCAATAATTTATGGTAATTAGAATCTGCAGACACGTATAAACAGAATTAAAGGCGATTTACGCAGTTCAATTAGCATTTCATAAATTTTTGGAATGCCTAATTTGATGTATCCGCCGCACTCGGGGCCGAGATCAAGGCGCCTAATTATAAACACAGAAGAGGCGCAGGCGACAGGCTATAGGAGTCTGGAGGCTGGAGGAAAAACTTGTAATTTATATGAAAATTTATGAAATCAAATTGTGCGGCACGCCCCATTTGCAGAGGCGTCGCCAGTTGCAGTGGCGTGGCAAGAAAATAAACAGAATGGAAAACTGAAGGGCAGGCACAAAGTGTGGCACAGTCAGGCACAAATCCGCGTTGACATCATTTGTGCCACATGTGTGTGCAACAACAGCGGGTGCAGTGGCAGCTGAGAGCTTCAGCGGATTCTGTGGAAGCTGCAACTAAAGAAATTAAAAATAAAAATGCGCTTTAAACACGTGCGAGCGCGCAGCGTGTTGCGGCATTGCCCGGTGGCATGATACGCAGTTGCTGCAACCATGTTCCCCTCGCTTGCCCCTGCTTATCTGTTTGGCTGGCGTTGGCGTTGTGGCTGCCACTTTGACTGACAATTAATTTCAATTGCGCATTCGCGTTAATCGCTCTAAAAAAAAGGGACGACAGCAGCAGCAGCAGCAGCAGCAACAACAGCAACGACAACAACAACGACAACATGCAACATCTTCGTTTTGGTTCTTTTTTCCATCTCCTTTTCTTTTGTTGCACGCAAAATGTTTTTCCCTGTCTCGCTGCTATTTTTAATCATCTTTGGCTTTTCTTTTTTTTCCAGAAATTTTCAATGTGTCGTCTTCCGCTGCCTGAGATTAAAAATATAAGTGACAGCCAGCTACAACCCCCAGGCGTGGCATGAAGCGAAGCTGCTGCCTCCAAAAGGAAAATGTCAAGTTCAAGAGTCGTTACAGCTGCTCCAGCTGACTGAGGATGCCAACTGAAGTGCGAGGTATGCGTGGAGCCCAGATGAAGTAGACGAAAGTAGACGGCAGACCAAGACGCCAGACTGAAGATTAGGAAAGCTGTGCAACTAGAGGGGGAGGCAGCAGCAACTGCCAGCTGGAAGTGGATTAATTTTGACATTTATGATGTAGGCTTAAAGTGTTTTAATTGCTTTTCCTACTTATGTTGCCTGCTGAAAATCAGGAGCATCAGCAGCAACAACAACAACAACGCGCCACGTAGCACATGATGATAATGCAGAATGAGGCACGTGTCTATACAATGGGCAACAAATTGAATTAAGTGCATTGGCCGCATAAAAATCACGCACAATCTGCTTGCAGTGCACTGAGAGAAAAAGCACGCACTAGCTGCTATATTAATGCGAGTGTGCATACCCTGCAAACAGTGCAGTCAGTGTGAGGGGTATTTTGAAATGCTCGCAACTTATGCAACCTACATACACTTTTAAATAAATAAATATATATTAACAACAATTAAAATTAAAATATATATAATTATTAATAAAAATGATAATTTACTTAAGAGCCAGTAAGATGGAAACCTTTTATCAAAAACGTTCAAGAGAGATAAAACAAAATATTTATTTGCTGCTCACTCACAAATCTTTCACAATTATGAAATATTAAAAAAATTAATTCAACTTCAAATTTATTCATTTTCACTTGTAAAATCTTCTCCTATAGAACAATGTAATTATTTTATACTCATGAATTTTTTCCAGTAATAAAACTAAAACTCAAAATTTGTTGCTGATTATATGCTTATATAACAGTTATGTATACTATTATATTTTCAGTGTTCGTATTATAAAAAACCAACAAATTGACACGATTTGTGTCCTGTTCACAAACATAATGATGCACATATAGATGAATGATGGCCCTTACAGGGCATCTACGAGACGAGCACACTTTAAATGTTTAATAAATATTGAAAATGCATAAAAAGATATTTTCAGCATGTTTCGCGCCGTGTACTCAAACAACCGCTGCTTGTTAAGCATTGGGTGTCAGGTGTTCAGGTGTATTCAGGTGTGGTGTGCGTGTGTGTGTGTGTGTGTGCCCGCGTGCGTGTATTTTGAGGCATTCGGATAGCCTCTGGAGTAACACAAACGATGCCGCTGTCGCCTGCAGTTGTTTGTTTGGTGTCCTGTGCAGCATTGGCATGTCCTTTCGCCGGCCTCTCATTCACGTCGAGTGCGCCGTGGCCGACCTCGTTGCTCGCCTCTCACGTTTCGCGTTAAAGTCACGTATTTTCCAGGTAATTTACGTTGGCGAAACTGTTGCCACCAATATTTCTGGCCGTGTTGGCCGTTGATTTTAGTTGTCGGTTTCTTTACCAGTTGTTGTGTTTGTTGTTGAACCGTTTGCTGGTCTTTTTTTTCCCCCTCCCAGTGCATGAAATGCGTTTTTTGGCCTTTGTACGTGCACGTTGTCCTTTTTGCGGGCGAGCCGGCTCCCAGTTCGCTTATTGTTTTTCATGCTCCTCGCTGTCCTGGCGCAAGTGCAGCGAAATGTGCATAACGTGACCGGGTTTCTTAGTTGGCTTTTACCAGCCAGCGAAAGTGCTGGCCAAGTTCCACCCCCAAGTTGGCCCCCGTTGCCAGGGTGCAAAGTGCATGCGGCGCGATGCACTCACCCGTCCGCTCCACCCATCCCTCATTCACTCACTCACACGCGCTCTTCCACTGATATTTCACTTGGAAAACTTTTGCAACTTCTTTCGGACAGCTGCAATGGATACGGTTGCGGGCACAGATACAGATACTGTTGCAATTGTTGTTGTTGTCGTCGGTTGTTTGCGGTAAATTAAGTTGCGACCATTGAAGCTCCACTTGAGTTAATCGTTTAATTAGTGCCTGAAAGTCTTGTGGGTTGAGCATCTCTGCCTGTTGGCCACAAAAATGACTTGACTTGAGCATACTTGAAGAAAGGTACTTACAAATGTTTCGCAATAGCTAAACACGCTTTTAGGCGCGCTGCCAAACTCTTTTTAAGCAGAGAAACAACAAAAATAATGAGATTCTTGGAAAGTTTGTTAGAAAATAATCTCGAAGTTAACGTTAAACTTTTCAAAGTAATTAAAAAATATTCAAATTTCAATATTTTTCAATAACATTTCATTCTCACTAAACGGAAGAAAGGAAATCCAAGAAACACATGATTTTGAATATTTATATTCATTTGAAATTCTTCAACTTAATTTAATATTCAAAACCTGGTTTTTTTTTTTTTTTTTTTTTTTTTTGTTTTTTATTTCCCAAGCGCAATCGTATAAATTAGAAACTTTTTGACTTTAATATTGACATCAATCTTAATTATTCTGGCTCTTCACATTCTGTTCGTCTGGTATACACACTCGCACACACGCACACACACCCTCACACCTACGCACATTTCTTATGTGTCAAAGGCAACGCATAAAAACCGAAAATGTCATTTTGTAGCTGTTGTAGCCAAGTTGAAATTAAAATTTATGGCCTCAATATGCGTTTGTTGCTACCAAAAACTGAAATTCATTTTACGAGCATTGCAAATAAAAATAAATTAATATTTCATTTGTTTTTACCCACAAGGGGAGCGGGGGCTCCCCTCGTATGTGTGTGTGTGTGTCCTGGCCACCCACAAAAAAAAAAAAAAAAAATCCTTTGCTGGTTCAACTAACTTTGTTTTACGACCCAACTGATGATGGTCATGCCTGACTGCCAGCCTGTTGGCAGCCAGCATTTGTGGCTGTTGTTGTTGTTGTTGTTTTGTTGGCTGTTGCTCTCTTTATGATGGCTACGTTATTTTTAAATTCATTTTATATGAAGGTATTTATGTGGCAGTGCTGCGCGTTTAGATGGCGCTTAAGTGTTTCCAATACCCTGCAATAATGCTGCCAAAACAACGGGTGGTCGGCCTTGAGCCTGGCTTCTTCAGAGAGAAAAACACGCTGCAGAACTTTGTGATCTTAAAGGGCAAAGCAAGCGCTTGTTGAATGAATTAATCCATTTCCTTAAGGATGTTCCATTGGAAAGCGATTTCAAAGGTGGCCTGATCAGCAAAATAATAAGAAAGTAAAGCTATCCAAAGGTATTTGAAATATTAGTCAAATGCTCCTGAATCTAAATGCTTTTTGCTAATAACTCCCTTGTCTGGGTATTCTGGCACCAATAGTGCTAAGCCAATCTCTGAATACTTTCGAAAATAAAGCCTCTTTTCATTTGACCAAACACTTTGCTCAACTAATTATTCGCACACTCTGGCCAAGCATCCTACTGCAATAAGTCCTCGTTTATGATACCCCGTAAATCCTTATAAATATGAAATATAATAAATATTTATATCAGAAGTGCACACAGAGCAGCTCTCTGTCTTCTTAACTTTATTACAATTTTGAAAAAATGTTTTACCGCTTAGCAGTTCAGATGCAGCACACACGGGCTGAGACACACCCAAACACACCCACACACACACACACACAACCACACCTACACAGAAAACGTGCCACACATGCTTTTCAATATGGTATATCGATATGAATTATAGAGGTGGCAAGGAGTTGAAGCGAGTGGCAGCTCTGCCATCAGATCGCATTAAATATTTAAACAATCAAGCTGCAAGTGCTGGCAAATGGGTGTGGTTAGGGTTGGTAGTTGCTATATATAAGTGGGCGTGGCAGTTGCTATACGAAATGGCAATGAAGCCGGTTTAATCATTGTTTGCACTTTTGCACCTGCCAACTGCAAAGCTTTACTCCCCCCACCACCCCTCTCTCACTACCACCCTCTCTCTCTCTCTCTCTCTTTCTATCTCTGTTTGTGTCTCGCTATCTTCGACTGTGCTGCTATCTCTGTCTGTTTTTACTTGTGAGTGGCAACGTTATTTAGCAGTTTCCGTTTCCTTTATCATTGAGCACAGCTGGCGCATCCTGGGCGTGCTTCCTCCAGGCGGTGACTCCGACTTCGACTCTGGCCCTGGCCCGGACTCGGGCTGTCTTTTGCAAGTTTAATGCATTTAATTCTTACATTGTGCCACGAAATTGGCTAAAAATAAGTTTGTGCCGTGTCTGTCGATTGCATTGCACTTCCGCCAGGTAAATTTGAAATGCACTCGAACTGCATTTGGCAAACGAAACGAAATCACATCGCAAACAATTTAAAGAACACGAGTTCTTAAAGTAACATCTGCTGGCCGGATTAAGAGCCTAGCCGTACACCAAATCGACTCCGTATTGTGGCTGCATTGGGGTGGCATTAGCGGCCAGTCGGTGGCCCCGCTGTTCGGCTCGGCCATTGCCAAAATTGTCACAGCGTGTGGCCACATGCTGTGTGACCCACGCTGTGGTGTTTCGGTTGCGGCAGACAAGTCAAGTTGGTGGCGAGGTCAATGTACGCCTGCCCGAGCGGGCCAGACTGGGCCAGATTGGGGCAGAATGGGGCAGTCAGGTTGTCAGGATGTCAACCAGTTCCTTCAATTCCAAGAGTTTCCATTATTCCAGTTTGTAATCTGCTAATGGCTGGCAGCTCGCATTTCCAATCGCTTTGCGGCATCTACTTTCCAATTATGTCCATTATGCAGCCTCGCCAAGGACATTTGTCATTCTCATTCGCATGCCCAAGCTTCGTTCTCACAGTTGCTTGTGCAATTTCATGCTCGATGCTTCAAGCTCCAGGACCATCAGCAGTTTTATCAAAGCTGTCCCAGGCAAATGTCGGAAACGGAACCTCAGCAAATATGTTATGAAAAGTTTTCAGTTCAGTTTCCAGCCACAACACGCAAATGTTGGCTGGCCAGCAGGAGCAGGCGGAAACGTAGACGATATTTTCAGCTCAAGCAGCGGAAATGATTTATTAAAAATATATATATATTTATATACAAATATAGCGACTGCTCTGCCTGTCGAGTGAGGACTGAAGCATTATAACAATGAATGTCAGAGATAAAAGTGGCGATTGTCACACAATAAATAGCATGGAAATCAAAGCCTCCACAAAATATCAAGAATGAATACAGTAACAAAAAAACAAGAAAAGAAAATTGCTCGACAATTACAGACAGGCTCCGACGGAGTCTTGGATTGCTATGCCCAATGACACAGAAACGAAAAGGTCTGCTCTTGAAAAAAGACAAGTGGGTAAAAACGAATGCACGACGATGAGTTACCCTGTGTTAAGGCTCAAAATACAAAATATGTAGAATATACAGAAGATTCTTTCATATATAAAGCATTTTATAATTAAACTATCGGCTATTCCTTGGCATTGACTGAGACCAGTCTTGTACTTTATCAGCCAATTCTCGTGTGTGGGAGATTTAAGTCTGCCGTGCTATCTTTTACTCGATGTCTCTTCAAATATAGGTTCAAATCCCATCGCATTGAGAACAAAATTTGGAATCAACAGTTATCGCCCGTCTTAGTCTTGTAGTAAGATTAACAAGTCGATCTGACGGAAAAACTTGTCGCTGAATTTCCACAGTTGCAAATTTAAGAAAAACCATTTCCACACCCTTTAAATAAATATGAACACCAATTTTTGAAACTGAGTCTGACGCAATTGGATGGTAAGCAAAATAGTTGCGCTGAAACGTTGTTCGCGATTTTTCCGCAATTGAGTGTGAAATTTTCCTAAACCTCGGCTTAAAGTGAACTTGCATCACATGAGGTAACTACACTCGAAAACTTGGCATCTAACAATAACTATTTGTATTACTATTTTTTCAAATATATTAGAATTAGCGATGTCCTCCGCTCCAGAGATCAATGGATTTGCTCGGACTGTTGGGCATATCTCGATAACTGAGTCTCATATATCATATACTTATTTTATACTTATATATACTTAGATTTATTCGCTCTCTTAGATAGAGACGACCATCTAGAGGTTATAAGTGCATAGACTGTGATTATCTTTTAGTTCATTTTAAATGCTTCCCAAAACTCGTGCAGGTAAATTGAAACTAACAAAAACTCGAGCACAAAACTTTGCGCCCAGGTAAAGTGGCTGGCAAAAGGCAGCTGAAAGCCTGCGACCCATTGTAATTTATAATGCATGCGCCACAAGACGAGCTCCCAACTTGAACTTAGCCGAATGCAATGCATGGAAACTGTAAAGTTGAGGGAGATGGGACGACCCAAACAAATGCATCCGCATCTTTGAAGTGCACTCCGAGGCAATCTCTGCGTGCTTAATGATTACATAAGATTCATATAAGCGCCACTTGATTCGCCCAACTTTAACTTCCGTGAAGCGCATTTTCCAACAAGATGTATGTAATTTCATTTTATCAATTAGCTCGGGCTGCCAGTTCTTGTACGATATTAATTTGGTATTAACGTAGCTGATGCTGGAGAACCACTTCCTGCCACATGCCACACGGCGCGCACACACACACACACACACGCAGAATCATGTTTTCGGTCAGCGGCACAACAAATGTTGCTGCCACTTTAACATGCTGTTTCCTCATCAATTAGTCGGAAGTGTATTTATCATTAATTACACCCAAAGCTGCCCAAGCACAGAACCATCAGATCTAGTTTTTTCTTTGAAGTTTTTCTCATCTGCTTACGGAATAAATAGCTAAGTGGCGCTGAATCTTCGTAGAGTGCTTAAGTCTTTCGAGATCTAAGAATTAATATGTTATTAATGATGTTTTCATCTATTAGTTATATTTTATTTATTATTATTACTAATAAATAGTTGTAATATTCTATTGATACGACATCCCGTTATTTCAATTAAGGACAGTCAAATAAAAAGTAGGTTTTTTTTTCAGAAATAAGACCTAACATATTTTATATAGCCTGATATTTAACCATTAAATTCCATGACAACAATAGAGTGACATTCTATCCGGTCAATTGAAACAAACATATGCACTAAAAATCGTTGAATAATGAATACATGATGAGCATTTAATTCAGTTCAAAGTAAGTATATCCTTTGGGAGATTTGACTAATATATTTAATTCAATATGAAGAAATAACTTTTAGTTTTGACTAAGTAGTTTACCATATTATTTTTTCACAAAAAAGTATGTTCTCCTCTTGTATTTTATAAATAAAATATAATTTTGTGGCT